GAGAGAGAGAGAGAGAGAGAGAGAGAGAGAGAGAGAGAGAGAGAGAGAGCTGACGCGCGAGGTGCAGCAGGAGGACGAGAAGAATGCCCTTTTGTCGGGCCGCGTGCGCTGCACCGTGTGCTGCACGCCGCAACAATGCTTCGGGGTGGCGACCCCAGAGAGAGAGAGGGGTAATTCCTCTTCATCGATTGCACGTTTTTCCGTAAAAGTGAGGAGGTAAAAGAGGAAGAAGGGGTGAATAAAAGTGTCGCGCAGAAAGGGGTTGTTTCCTTTCTTTCAACCTTTTTTTTTTTGTAGTTATTTCGTGTGGGCAAAGGAGGAGTTTATGGGTTGTGTTTTGCAGGATTTCTTTATTAGTTAGGTTTTTTTTTACTGCGCGCGGATTTTTCCCGATTTTGGGGATTTTTTTTTGGACAGGGTCGTGTGTTAAATGTGACGTCCCTTTGATCGCATCGATTGAATAAAGGAAGGGGGTCGATCTCTACCTGCCGCGACTGAGCGCACGCGTCTGTCAACTCTTTCGCTTTGCGACTTTTGCCGTAAAATGTCGGAAAGAAGAGATTCGTTCTTTGTCCCTCCTCGAGAACAATCGGAACGGCAGACTGTAACCTTATCAATTTCATTCTTATCATTCATACGAGAAAAAAATATAGTTAATTTGTTAGCTTATATCTCCTGGCTCCACCTGGTTGTTTTACTGGCTGCAACTAATCCTTTTTTGTTTCTCTTCATTTCCAGGTTCCCTACCCCCAAGCCCTGCTGACTCCGGTGTCTCCGACGTCGACTCCAGCAGCTCGGGTCATACCTCCAACGACGAGCTGAGAGCGAGGCTACACCCTACTGCAGGTCAGTACACACCCAGACGCATGCCACATGCTATCAACTATTTAGTGACTTTTTTAAAGCAAATGAAATGTTATTTTCTTTTGAAAATAATTGACAAGAATATTTTGTCACGTATACGCGTATACTATAGTTGCCTGTATTCGCTATAGTCGGCTATAGTTTCCATTTTGGGGGTTCTGACTACGAGCTTGTGTGTGTTCCGCGCTTCGATCACCTCATGACTTTGCTTTTGTGCCGTTTTACCTGCTGTTGCATTTTCATTTTTGATTGTTGTTTTTATTTTTATCTTGAGTTTTCACCACGACAATGATGATGCTCGCCACCGCACGTACGTACTGTTGGCTCATGGCGAGCGGGGCAGAGCAAGAGCAGAAACTGAGCCGGTTGACCGGTGCTGTGTCTGTTGCAGGTGACAGCCCGCGTGCTGAAACCCCCCCGGGACCAACCGCTGGTGATGTGTTAACCCCCCGGGACCAAAGTCACCACTGGTGATTCGGGATTGTGGCTTAACGACGAGACATTTAACTTTTGGGTCTACATCACCAGCCTTACCTTTTATTGATTAAATTCAAACATAGGTTTTCAGCCGCGAATTTTTTTTTTTTT